GCTTCCGCTGTTGGTAAGAAAGGAGTCCTTTGACTAATGTTTATTTACATTTCAGGCTCATAGGAGAAAAGATTGGAAATGTTGGGAGAGGAATAAATATTGCCATTGTCAATTGTAAGTTATTAAATATTTTCTTTAAAACTTTTCTAAAGACTCTGATGGGATCTTTCCCAGATACCTTGGGGTTTTGCACTCAGTCTAGTCTAGGTTTATATTTTGATGCATTTTTGAAATTATATATTTAACTATTTTTACAACGCCTCAGATTATTTGTAGTTCCCAAGAACACACCATGAAACCAAATATAGATTTTTAAAACAAAACGAGGAGGACTGGCAGAGGCGGGGTGAGACCAGAGGAGCAGACCTGGGCCTCACTTTGGCTCTCAGATTCCTGGTGGCCCAGCAGAAGGCGACACATCTGCCAGTTCCTGCCTCTGTGTGATAGAAGGGACGAGGACCTCCAGGGAAGCCAAGCTTGGCCTCCCCTTAGGCCTGGGAAAGACGACCGCCACTGGGAACCCTGACAATCGCAGGTTTGGGGTGTCCCTGAAAGCAAGCTGAGCACATGGTCCAGTGACAGGGGGGCTGCAGGAACCCAAGACAGAATGTGCCCAGCGTGGTGATCCGGAGGGGAGCCTGCAGCACTCAGCAGAGAGCCCTGAGGCAGGAACTCTGGGGTCTGTGTGGGAAGAGGAAGGTGCAACAGGAAAGTGTAGGATGGAATCTCCTGGGAAGCAGCCGGAAGGCAGCCAGGGCAGCGGAGGAGCGTCTCTCTGACCCACCCACATCGGCAGCACCAGGGCAGGCAGCGCATCTTAGGCTCCCGGGAAAGAGATGGGGAAGGAACAGGCCACGTCGAGAACTCTGGTGCCACGGATGCACCCCGAGTCCCGACGAGCTTTCGGTTAAAAGCTGTTCCTTTTCTTTTCAGATGTGACTGGGAAAGTGATAGCAGCACAGTATTTTGATATGTATGAAGGAGGTAAGAAAACTCGTTTCCTGTTAACATTTAGATGAGTTCTAAACATAAATCAAGATTTTTAAAAACACAGGCAAAATGGCCAAACGTTCTTACTAAGTTGTCTGCTAAGAAAACTGCCAGAAGTTCGTGTTGAGTATTCTAGAACGGTCGTCCCTTCATCAGTCCTCTTAGTCCAGTGATGGCGAACCTATGACACGCGTGTCAGAGGTGACACGCGAACTCATTTCTTTGGTTGATTTTTCTTTGTTAAATGGCATTTAAATATATAAAATAAATATCAAAAATATAAATCTTTGTTTTACTATGGTTGCAAATATCAAAAAATTTCTATATGTGACACGGCACCAGAGTTAAGTTAGGGTTTTTTCAAAATGCTGACACACCGAGCTCAAAAGGGTCACCATCACTGTCTTAGTCTCTGGGTTCATGTAATTCCGTTTGAAGGCATTCTCTAGAAAATTCCTTTCCTCTGGTCACACTTGTCTTGAATCTTCTCCTTCCCTTCCCTCCTTGAATAACGGGAAGAGACAGTTTCAAATCAAATCTCTGTAAAATAACGCAGTCAGCATCCAGCCTGAATATCATCAGGATTTCTGTCCTGGGCCTGGTGCCCGCTGGGCCTGTGTGCTCCTTCCCGGGCCCCGCGACCCCCGCTCTCCTTCAGCGTCGCTCCATTCTGGGCACTGGGTCTTGGACATGTTGCCTGTCAGGATATACCAGCCCTGAGAGTTGTTAACAACAAGTCTCTGTAAGACGATGGAGAGTCGTGAGAAATGCTGGTGCCTCTCGGTGGGAATGGTGCATGTTTACTCGGCAGCTAACTTAAGCACAACTATCAGCACCCAGCCCCGGGGGTAAAGAGTAGGGTCAGAGGTTTGCCTTTCTTTTATCCTGTAAGGTGTAGGCAGGCCCCTTAGCCAAGACTTCCCCAGGCAAGGCCGGGTCTGCATTCCTGTCTCTGTCCTGCACATGGGTGCCTGAGCCACTCCGATCTGGGATGCGCACACGTGGGTGGGGGCTGCCTGAGTCATTGCAGAGCGTGCTGCCTGTGCCACCAAAGTGGCTGCTGGTGTCGAGTTGATCGGTAGCATCTTCCTGATCCCGTCGTGCTCTGACCTCGGACGGTCCCACGCGGAAGCCCAGCAGCTGCGGGGCCGTATGCCTGGTCCAGAGCGGAGTCCCTGCTCTTCATGGTGACCCACGATGACGGCAGCAGCCGGTGAGCGTGCGTGGCTGTGCCCAGCAGTGACTAGAAATCTGACCCACGCAGCCAGCTTGGGTGCCCTGTCCTCCTGTTCACCCCCCTAAAAAAAACCCCACCAGGAACTGAGTGGCTTTGGAGACCTCAGTGCTGGGACAAACACAGTGGGACACACAGGAGTCCCCACGGGAGACATTCAGTCGCTCTCCTCTGTCCCCCAGACTGAAGGAGGACGCCAAGAAGACCATAGAAGCGCTTGGAAGCAAAGAAATCAGGAACATGCGGTTCAGGTCCAGCTGGGTATTTCTTACAGCGAAGGGCTTTGAACTTCCTGCGGGAATCGAGAGAGAGAAGGTGAGTGGTTGTCGTCACTGTTTTTTAAAGGAATGGTTGGTATACGATATTACATTAGTTTCAGGTGTACAATATAGGGATGCAGCATTTATACACCGAACAATGTGCTCACCACACGCAGTCTAGTAACCATCTGTCACCATGCCAAGGGTGGGTGGTTTTTAAATGTCCCTTCCCACAGGTGGTTAGGGTAGCAGGGGCTGTGATTTGAAAGGTTGCCAGTCGGTTACAACTCCCCGTCTCTAACTACGTCCCTGCGTCCCTGCGTAGAGTGCGTGCTGCCAGGGCCATGTGCGGGGTGGGCACCTGGTCTGAGTGCTCGCCCCTCCACTCAGGGTTCCTCGTTCCTACATCTGGGAAAATCCCACCGGTAGGTGCTGGGTGTGTCATGGGTGAAACCGTCCGTGCTGAGAACGGAACCCTTTCCCTTAGATCAGCATTAGTTCGGCATTGGGCCTCGGGTTCGATTCCTTGGTTGCAGGCTCCTCCCCTGGTCAGGACTCGGGCAGGAGACAACCAATGGATGTGTTTCTCTCACATTGATGTTTCTCTCTCTTTCCCTCTCTCTTCCACTCTCCCTAAAAGTCAATGGAAAAATATCCTCAGGTGAGGATTAACAAAACAAAAAATTAGAAAATTCTCAGTGGGCTGTTGAGACCGATTTTGCATCATGCTGGAGCCAACACAGGCCTCTCTGCTTTGCCTCTGTGTGGGGAAAGGAACAGTGCTTACTGCTAATGCGGCTCGGAGACCACCGCGCCTGTGCGCCCGAAGCATTTAAAATAGTTGGGCACCAGCTCTAGCCGGTTTGGCTCACTGGGTGGAGTGTTCGCCCATGGACTGAAAGGTCCTGGGTTCGATTTGAGTACCTCGGTTTCAGGCTCCATCCCCAGCCTGGTTGGGGCTTATGCTGGAGGCAACCAATCGATGTGTCTCTGTCACATCAATGTTTCTCTCTCTCTCCCCTGCCCTTTCACGCTCTAACAAATCAATGGATTAACAAAATAAAATGGAAGGGCAGGCACCAAACGCCGGATTAAGGTAGCTTTCATTGTAACTTGTTCATGATTGACTTGAAGGCCTGTCATTTATCGAAGAAAAGTAAACAGCAAAGGAATGGCATTCTCATGCGTTAGCTCCACGGCCTGTGAAAATCGCAGCTGAGGGTTGGGGACATGTCACGGGATTTATGAGCTGACGCCTCTGGGGACGATGGCACAGCCTCTTTCAGATGGTGCTGCTCTCCGGATCCGGGGCCAAAACACCGGGGCTTTGGAAGTGGGGGGCTGGCTGCCTGCCAAGGGGTGAGCCCTCCGACCCTTCCTAGGCAAAGGGGCTCCTTTCCTGGAGCTAGGAATTCTAAGAGGCAGAGATTTGCGTGTCCACAGGTTGCTTCTGACTCCAGGCGAGGACGGTTGGTCCCAGTCCCCTGCTTGCTCTGTCTGCATGGTGACGGGTCTGGGAAGGAAGACAAACAGAAGCAGGTGGACCCAGCTGGTATGGCTCAGTGGTTGAGCATTGACCTATGAACCAGGAGGTCAGGGTTCAATTCCCAGTCAGGGCACATGCCCGGGTTGCGGGCTCGATCCCCAGTAGGGGGCGTGCAGGAGGCAGCCGACTGATGATGCTTCCATCTGTCTCTCCCTCTGCCTCTCCCTTCCTCTTTGAAATCAATGAAAATATTTTTTTAAAGAAACAGAAGCAGATGGGTGGCGGGGCCTCTCCACTGTTGGCAGGACCGCCGAGGTGGAGGAGGAGGGGGCTGGGTGGGTGTGATCTCGGTGCAGCCACACAAACAGGTAACTCATGACAGATGCCCAGGGGAAGCCCTGGAGCTCCTCGGATGCCCTGCAGTCGCCCCCCTGGACGCTCAGGATCCCTGGGGATTTTAGCAGGCACCTAAAGGACACGTTTTCTCCTTGTAACTCCCTGTTCCTCCTCCCCCGGGAAGCCAGTCCCATAGAACACGCCAGGAGCATTTACCCGGGGCCCCTGCCCAGACCACTCATTGCTAATGATCGGGTTCGGACACCCAGTGTGCTTGAGGCCTCATGGGCTTGTCCTAACGAGTGAGCATGGCCTGGGCTCTGTGTGGTGGCTCTCCCGGGCCCCACTGCCTGGACCTGCCTGGGGTGAGGGGTGCCAGGTGCGGCTGGGAGAGGGGCTTGGTGTCCAGGGTCAGATTTGCGGGGGCCACAGGTGATGCTGAGCAAGCTGCTTCTCCTCTCTGGGCTTGAGTTTTCTGATCTGTGTAACGAAATGAAAGCTGGGTGATTCTTCAGCTGTGATGTGGGCATGTGCTCCATTTGCCCTTGGCCTTCCTCAGGCTGCCTCTGTGGAGTGATACAGGACACCTTCTCCTCCACCCCTTGCGTGGTCAGTACCAATCTGGCATCTTACGGATCTCCAGGCTTTATCTACCGGCTGTGTGGTCTTAGGCAAGTTATGTAACCTCTCTGTGCCTCAGGGTCATCCCCTGTGGGGAAGGGATAAGGCCAGCCCCTATCATATGCGAGTCAATGAGGATGAAGTGAGAGCCACATGTGGGGCTCAGCAAGGAACTGAGCAGAGAGCCCAGTAACCCAGAGCAAACAGTCCTTTCCGGAGCTTCCCGGCTCCTTCCAACTGGCCCGCCCCACCTGCCCTTCCCCACCTAAGCTCCTTACACAACACCGGTGCCCAGGCCAACTGAGCTGGAACGCCAGAGGCGGGCCTGGCAGGGGATTCTGATGATCAGGGAGGGTGGACCCATTGCACTGATTTTCCTGAGAAAAATGGAGGCCCCATTTCATGTGCACATTCAAATTCCCCCTTCATGGCCCAGCCGGCTTTTTTATAGAAATTGACAAGTGGATCCTGAAATTCATGTGGAAATTCAAGAGATCCAGATAGCCAAAACAGTCTTGAGAAAGAAGAACTACGTTGAGGACTCATGCTTCCCAATTTCAGAACTCACTACAAAGCCGCAGTAATCAAGCCGGTGTGGTACTGGCATACAGCACACATACGGACCCAGGGAATAGAATCCGGCGTCCAGAAACAAAACCTCACTTTTTTGGTCAATGATTTTCGACAAGGCTGCCAAAACCACTGTGTGGGGAATGATGCTGAGACAACTGGACACCCACATGCAAAAAAAAAAAAAAAAAAAAAAAAAATGAATTTGAGTCCTACCTCACACCATATGTGGAAATTAAGTCAAAATGGGTCAAATGACTAAATATAGGAGCTAGAGCCATTAAACTTGTAGAAGAAAACGAAGCCATAAATCTTTGTGACCTGGAATTAGGCAATGGTTTCTTAGCTACAACACCAAAAGCAGGAACAAAAAAAGAAAAAATGAATAAATTGCATTTCATCAAAACTTAAAACTTTTGTGCATCAATGGACACCACCAAAAAAAAAGTGAAAAGGAAGAAAAAACATTACAAATGAAGGACTTATACCTACAATGTATAAAGAACTCTTACGGGTCATAATAAAAAGACAAATAACCCGATTTTAAAGTGGGCAGAGATCTGAATGAACTTATCTTCAGGGGACAGTAAACACACAAGAAGATGCTCGTAATCGGCCACCAGGACAATGCAAACGGAGGCCTCAATGAGGTACCACCTCACCCTCACGCGGAGGGCTGTAATTTTTAAAAAAATCATAAGAAGTGTTTATAAGGATGTGGCGAATGTAGAACCTTCAGACACTTTCGAAAAAAATCTAAAAATACTGCTGCTTTGGGAAATATTCTGGCTGTTCCTCAAAAAATTAAGCATGTAGTTACCATGTGACCTAACAATCCCACTCCTAGATATACTGTATACCCAAGAGGGAGAAAACATGTTCACCCAAAATCTTGTACATGAATGTGCATAGCAGCCTTATTCATAAAAAAACAAAAAGTAGGAACAGCCCACATGTCTTATTAATATATAAAAATATATTTTTTAAAATGGGGTATAGCCATACCAGGAATATTATTCAGCCATGTAAAGAAATGAAGTCCTGATACATGCTACAACATGGATGGACCTTGAAAACATGCTAAGCCAAGAAAACCAAACACAAAAGACCACATACTGCTCATTTCATTTACTAGTATATGAAATTTCTGGAATAGATGAAACCCATTGAGACAGAAAGTGGACTAGTGAACGCCTAGGGCTGTGGGGGACGGGGAATGACTGCGTATGGGTCTGTGGTTTCTTTTCCAGGTGAGGAAAATACTCTAAAATGGACTGCGATGGTTGCATATCTGTGAATATACTAAAAACCATTGAAGTGAACACTTTGGGTGTATTTTATAGTATGTAAGTTCTATCTCAAAGATGTTAAGTAAAAAAGATAGACAACTAGAATTCCAACATTTGGAATGCATATTATTCCTTCTAAGCATTAAGTTAAGACACTCCATTACCTGCGAAAGAACTGAAGATATAAAGGACTAACCCCGCATCAATAGGAACACACATTGCTGAGCTAGGAATTCTGCAGTAACGTATACGAGTAGTCCTACTCCCAAAGAATGAAAACTAAATGTTAGAGCTATGCTGTTCAATACAGCAGCTACGAACCAAATTTGCATTTACATTTATTAAACTTATTACATTTATTGAATTTGCATTACATTTATTAAAGTTAAATAGAACTTTAAATTCAGTTCCTCACTCACACTGGACACATATCAAGTACTTGATAGCCAAGCATGGCTAGTGGATACTCTATTGGACAGTGTTGACCACAGAATACTTACATCATTGCAGAAAGTTCCAGAGCTTCATTTACACCTGGGTCAAATTGTATTAGGAAGCACGTTGAGAAAATCAAGTACCCATAGTGGGTTGGGGCAAAATCCATTCTAGGAAGTGACTAATCCTAGAAGGGAATTTGTCAGCTATAGGACTTTGCTCATAAATGACACATTAAATATTTGTGGATTAGCAAATAAATACAATTCTTTTCTTTCCTCTGCACAGATCAACCACTCTGATGCTGCAAAGAACAGATACCCGGGCTGGCCTGCAGAAATACAGATAGACGGCTGTGTACCGAAAGAGCTAAGCTAACATTGTGCAGACTTAATAAATGTGTGTATTTTTATAGACAAATGAATCATGGAATGTCCCATGAATCTTATCAAACAGTCAATATTTGATTTTATGGGTTTTGTCGTCAACCAACCAATATTTGCTACATGCATGAAATCTTGGCACACAGTATTTTTATGCCAATATTCATACAGTGAAAATATTAATGAGCAGGAAGACTAAAATGAATGGAAATTGTTCAATGAAGGGGGTTTAACCTGGAACGGAGAGCGTTGGGGGAAGTAACCCCTGCTTGTGAGTGTGGAGTTATTTTAGATCAGATCTAAGCTTGACCCTGTAGTCACTCTGCAGAGAAAGCCTTGATTCCATGATCATGGAGCACACCCTCTTACGGGACAGTCATCTCCCAGGAGAAGGAGCAATGGTCAGAGGGCGTGGCAAAGCTGCCCTGGTCAGCGCCAGTTGAGCCCTGAACTCTTCCTGTGGGTCCGTGAGCTTACTGTTTCATGGACAAACCTGGGCTCCTCCTGCCTTCGGCCACTGGGGGTGCAGGGACACAGCCTCTGCCTTCCTGCAGGGGTGTCACTGCCAGAGCTCCGACGGCCTGGAGGGTCTGGCCTCAGGAGGACAACTGTACAGTACACACCGGGCTTTCCAGAAGGCGCATCGAGAGCCTCATATGGGAGATACGCACGCTCTGAGAAGCATGTCCCATGATGCATCTGATTTGGGATGAAGACCATCGAGTCATGGCCAAGCGCTCATTCTAACCGTCTTTCCAAGCCTGGCTACCAGAAAAGCTAGGGGACTTTGGTGCCAGGGTAATATCGCTTCTCTGAGCCTCTAGTTCCTCATGTGTAAGATGGGAGAATTAGGGTAGAAGAATGAGTCCAAGCATTTTTATCAGCAGGAATCCTTTGAAAACATGGTAGCACATGGCACCCTGGATTTCAGCATCCTGGCCATGTCAAACCACCCAACCTCAGTGGCTTACAACAGCACTGATTTCTCCCTTGAGTAGTTACTGTTATGCCCAGATTTCAAGACCCCAAAAGACACCACCAGGGAGCGCCAAGTCCAATGCAAAAGCATAGAGTCTTTTATTCAGTCCCGGGCTTGGTCCCCCCTCTGCCTCCATTACTGGATACGAGAGAGAGCCCCGAGTCCCAAGAGAACAAAGACTTTATAGGGCTTGGGGTCGGGGGGTGGGGGCACACTTGGACCACTGATTTGGCCAATTCCGGTTGGTTGAGTGAGGGCTGGGGGCTAGTGACGCAAGGGCAGGGTGCAGTTAGGGTCTGGTTACACAAAGACAGGGGGGTGTTCAGCATACTTTCGGCCTTGAGTTTGTTTCCCCTTGCATTCCCATTGGCTGAGATAAGAGCAGGCTGAGTAACTGATACATTCTATGGCTTTTGCTGGAAGAGGAGTTAGGAACACAGCTATCAGTCCTGTTCTGTCCTTTCATTACAGCTGGGCCACCGGGCAGCTGCGACTGGGCCCTGAGCACTCAGCCAGGCCGGAGGAGGATCCCCGTCAGGCACAGAAGCCAGAGAGCAGAGTGCACATGCCCAGGGCTCCGTGTGAGTGCCACCTCCTCTGCTAGTCCAGGAACCACCTGCTCTTTCTCAGTGGGATCCTCTCGGGGCAGCAGGGAGAGTTTGTGTGGGTGCATCTGCCCATGAGCTCTGTAAGTTGGAAGCTTTATCCACCTGGATGTGCTCAATGACCAGAGAATCTACATCTAAACCCTCAAGTCCAGCATTGCTCTCCGCATTGTTAAGCACGTGCAGCAAAAAGTCAGCACGCTTTTTGGGCCACCGACACTGTCCAGCCCCGCTGTCTGGCCTGGGCACACCTACTAGCTCCACCATCGTCACAACAGAATGGCACCCATTGCTTCTGAAAAGTGACGTCCTTCAGAGACTTGGTGGCTCTTGGAGATGCCTACCCTGATGGCCTGGCCAGTTTCACGAGGGTCCTCACAATGAACATGAAGATTTGAACCTCCGGATCTGCAGGGGTTTGTGGGGTTTTCTGGGTCAAGGGAAGAGTGAGCCACCTGTAGAGGTCTCCTCTGGCTGTTCGGGAAGAGCAGGAATACAAGGCCTGTGAACCCAGCACAGGGCTGGGGGCCCTGAGGAAGGGACTGCTGGGGCCCCTCCCCGCAGAGCAGTCTGCAGACCAACACCTGAGACCTTGGCTCAGGCTCCAGGTGAATCACATTTTGTCGCCCCCAAATTCTAACCCCCAGCACCTCCAAACGTGACCTTATTCAGAAACAAGGTCATTGCATTGTAATGAGTGAGAGTAGGGTGGGCCCTGGGCCAATATAATTAGTGTCCTCCTTAATAAAAGGGGAAGTTTGGACACACATACGGCGAGAAGGCCCGGTGAAGATGAAGGCAGAGATGGGGGTGATGCTTCGACAGCCAGGGAACCCCAAGATGGCCAGCAGCCAGCAGGCGCTGGGGGAGGGTGGACCGGAATCTCCCTGGAGCCTTCAGAGGGAGCAGGGCCCTGCGCACACCTTCGTCTTAGACCTCTGCCCTTAAAACAGCGAGAGGATAAATGTCCCCTGGCTGTCTCAGCCGCTCAGATCCTGGTGCTTTCACAGCAGCCAGGACACTAAGATCGTTTTCTTTATGTTGTAAACTCTTACGTGCACCAAGGATTCCTGTATTTAAAAAAAGGGGGTGGGGGTGGGGGTGGCTGGATTGGATCTTTTTATTTACTCCAGCTGGAATGACCACACTTTCATGGCGGTGTTGTCTTAATTCACTGTGAAGCCGCGGGAGCACTCCCAGCCAGCCTGCCCAGGTTCCTGCCCGCGCTGGGCCCTCCTGTGACACCCTGGCCCCATCCTGCGACTGCCCTGGGCGCCTGCACCTCCGCTGCCACTGCCGCTCTCCCTGGTGCGACCCCGAGGACCCCAACGCGGTGTGGGCATGCGACTCTGAGTTGCCAGGCCTTGCTTCCCACCTACCTGGGCGCTGGGCGCTGAGACTGTCGTTCCTGGGCCCGGCACTGGGGGGAGCTCTGCACCAGGCCACCTGCTCAGGGGAAGCCTGGAACACATCAAACCACAGACCCTTACAAAACGGGCTCCCTCCCTGGGTCGTGGCCCTGGTGACCCTTCTTTTCCAGGTTTGCACTTTCTACCTAAATGTTCGCTGTATTCCACTAAACACACGTGACCAGGAGGATGGCTCCACAACATGACCGGTTTTGAGAGTTCCCGGCTGCGTTGCTGGCGTGTGGTTTATACGCTGTTCCCGCTACTTCTGTTAGCAGCTGCCTCTGACATTCCCGAACACAGCCATGGGCCATCGCATCACCCCTGCTGGGGCCTCTGCCTTCAGAGCCTGGAGACCACTGAGGGGTGAGGGTGTTCCCCCAGCTCCACTCGGGGCCCGCCCCTTCCTGGGGGGCCCTTTGGGCAGGAGTCAGGGGTGGGAAGCCATCTCCTTTCTGGGCTCCGGACCCCTGAGCGACCTGCTGGATGGACAGCCTGAGGCCGGCCCTGGACCAGCAACAGGCTGGGGCTGCACAGAGCAGGTGCGGTGTTGGGGTCCAGCCCCAGCAGGTCCAGGGGTTCCCCAAGGTGTGGACAGAGTCGGCAAAGAAGGAAAGGAATGACACGGAGGCATCATTCAGGTGATCATCATAGCCAGGTTCCTCCTTTTATTGTCCTCTTACATCTGTATTTATACTATTTGATCTTAATCCTATCCATTCTATTCCAAAGGTTAGGGCGTTTCTTATCTCCATTCCAAGGTCACTCTATTGTTCTATTAAGCTACAAGGAAGTAACTGAAGGAGATTATTCTAAGTAAAGATTATGTAGCTTAAGCCTGATTGTTCGTAAAGTGATTAACTACCCGCCTGGCACTTAGTTAAGGGGTTTTACTGATAAAAATCCTCACCTGGGGAAACAACCTTTCTCGGAGAGGTGACCTTGGTTAAAACACATAGCGTTAAGAGGGGGAGAAAACATATTAAGAACAGAATGCCATATACGGCCAGGCCCTTGAAACATAAGCTGTGCAGATGTTTTTCCCTGCAGTGACTGTGTCAAGCAGCAAGGATGGACTGGCTTCCAGCAGTGCGGGGGCTGGTCGGAGGGGACAGGAAGCCACAGCGACCTTCAGGGCAGTGAAACTACTCCGGACGATGCTGTGATGGTGGCCACATGTTTTTAGAGAGGGAGAGAGGGAGAGGGATAGAGAGATAGAACAATGATGAGAACATGGATCGGCTGCCTCCTGCACGCCCCCTACTGGGAATTGAGCCTGCAACCCTGGCATGTGCCCTGACGGGAATCGAACGGTGACCTCTTGGTGCATGGGTCGACACTCAACCACTGAGTCACACCAGCCAGGCGGTGGCCACATGTTCTTACACATGTCTCCCAACCCACAGAACGCTCACACCGCAAACGGGGGACTCTGGGCAATGGTGATGAGTCACTGAGGGTCATGGAACGTGACAGGCGCCCTGCCGGGGGGCTGCTGACAGAGGGAGGCTGTGCGTGTGGGCGGGCAGGGGCTGTACAGGGAAAGCTCTGTGCCTTCTGCTCAATTTTGCAGTGAACCTAAACTGACCTAAAAAATAAAGTCTGTCACTAGTAAGAGAAAGTGCTGCCAGGAGAACGAGACTTAGATGGGCAGCAAGCCCGAGGGTCCCCCACCCCAGGGCAGACAGAGCTGGTGAAGCCCCCCTCCCCCCCAGAGGGCTGCAGACCTCCCTCCCTGTGGCGGGTTCAAGGGAGAGCACGGGACGGGGCTGGGAGCACCTGCTTCCACACAGAGAGCAGCCAGGGCCTCGGCTCTCTGCCCTCGAGAAAGGCTGGGAAGACAGGCATCTCCCGGCCCCTCTCGGTGCTTTTGTTACCAAGATTCCTGGACGTTGGACACCACAACGTTGAAAACAGCTTGTTCTTGACTGAGGGAAGGGTGCCACCAGCTGAGACACCCCCACCCCTGAGCGGGCCCTTGTCTCACTGTAGCCAAAGGCCTGGGCACTGCCAGCCCCCAAGCCAGTCTCCGGTGGGCACCATTCAGGAGGACTGACAAGACCCTGCCAGCCTGTGATGGCCATGGTCACCCCCACTGAAGCAGGTGGGCACAGAGAGCGAGGGGTCAGTGAGCTTGGACCCCAACGTGCGCTCTCTGCTACTGTGCCCAGCGGAGCAAACACCACCGCTAAGATCTCTGGCCCGCCCTCAGGACTCCAGGTTCCCTCCACCTCATCATCCAGCAAGCATTGGCCTGTCACCTTTGTGCACTGAGAGCGCAAACGGGGAAGGAGAGGCCGTTTGAGGTGGCTGCGCTGTGGCTCAGACGCTGGGGCTTGTGAACACAGCGGGCAGGCCCGCCCTGCTCGCTGATGCTGCCTGTGGTGTGGTGTTCCTTCCCCGGGCTTGTCTCCCTCCCTCAGCAAGGACCCCGCGTGCAGTGTGAGTGTGCAGGGGACTGTCCCTCCTGGAGAGGCCGCCGGATGAGGGAGGTGCCCAGGGAGGCTGTTGGGTGGGGAACGGAGGGTCCCCCAGGTGTTCTTGTGACGCTGGCATCACTCTGTCCAGCTTCGAAGGTGCCTTCTGTTAGGAAAACAAACAACAGGCCCCAAGGGGTCACCAGTGCTCAGCCGGGTCACCAAATGGAGCCTTCACACCTAATCTAACCGCAGTTGGGGGGAGGAGGGGGGCGGGGGTTCCTGGGCAGCAGTGGTGAGGTCATCTGCCTGACAGACCCCTGCAGTCCCCCAAAGACAGACGCGGGGATTCCCCACGCCCTTCCCCCTCCGCTTCTGTCTGTGGAGCCCTCCATCCTGGGCAGCCACTGAGAGCTCCTTTCTGCCTGCGAGGCGGCTGCTGCCCACGCATGAGTCCTTAGATCCGGCCAACTTGACGTTCCATTTCCTCAGCTGGTTTGGGGGCTGTGACACTCTTTCCTGGGGCGTCCTGTGCCGCCCCTGGGACGCTGGTCCCTCCAGGAGAGGCCAGGACAGTACTGGACCCTGCAAGACAGACCACGGCGAAGCCCCGTGGCCTCCCAGAGCCTGGGCTTTAACCTTTGTTAACCCCTAGAGTGCCCGGGAACACGATCGCGCTCCTCCTGTCTTTCGCCAAAAGTGCCCGGAGTGCTATCAAAAAGCTTCTTCGAAAAGGCGTCCAGTTCTAAGTCTGCCTCTATTAGTGATGATGATATTGCTAAATATGTCCATGTAGTAAAGGTTTCCTTAAGTTTTTGAATATGTAACTTCATTTACTTGCGATTCATAATTTTTTTTCCTAAACTGCTGTAAAATCAGCAAAAATGCCTTGGCAATTTTAGCATAGTTCCTAGGATACTGGTTGGCACTCGAAGGGTTAAGCCCCTGAATGCCTTCTCTAAAGGAAGTAAACGCCTGAGCAAAGAGGTGCTCAAGGTCACCTTTTCCTAATTCGTAATGTTTCGGGAAGAATGCTGGGAGTGGACACAAGACCGAGGCGCCTGCTTCCTCCCTCCTGCACCGAGGGCTCCAGTGGGGGAGGGCCCGGGTCCCCGCACAGAGGGGAGGGCCCTGGTCTCCCCACCCCCTACCCCACCCCCACCCCCGCA